GCGTACGGCTGGCGCTCCGCCCGCGCGACCACTACCGCTGCGTCATGTGGCAGAGGCAACGCGGCGTTGGCCGCGAGGGCGGAGCGCCGGCCACACTCGCCTCTTATTGGTCATCGCTTTTCGCTAATAACACGTAAACGAAGCCTCGGATCGCATTTTCGCAAAGGAAAAAGTTACTTCAAATCACCTCAGGAATCTCTCCATTCAGTGTGTTAACATAATTATGGGATTGTTGCTTTTCTTAACGGTTCTTTGCTAGTTTTTTTCAGTGCTCGGTAGGTTTAGTGTTAAATTCTGGTTCCACGGAAATTTGATAATTGATCGCGCAGGCTTAAATACATCATTTTAGTTACCATATGTTTTCTTTCGCTTTTCGTATAGAAACCGATCGTTCTCAGTACACGCTTCAAACGTATTCATTTCCCGAGTTCGAAGAGCGGTTGTTCTATCCACTGTACCGTTAATTCAAAGATTACGCGCGTTCGATACGCGAACGTTGCGATGAAATATTTTTCCCCGGAGATGGTAGGCAGACGCGAGTGAACTGGTATTATGGTGTGCGAGACGAACGGTCAACGTTGCGTGAAAGTCTACGGAATGCAAAGCATTAATACGAGAAGGCGGATTTCAGCTCTTCGACGTGGATCGCGGAGATCGCAAGAGATTGACCCGCCGATCCGAATTCTTTCGTTTTCGGACGACTCTCATAGTAAATCGGACAGTTGGTTATTTACAGGGTGTCCCAAAAATGTCTCGCAATCCGAAAGTGGCGGGTTCCTCGGGTCATTTGAAGCAACTTTTTCCTTTACAAAAATTTTCTCCGCGACACCGTTAACGAGTTATTAACGAAAAACAGTGACCAATGAGAGGCGAGCTCAGCTGGCGTGAGGCGACCGAGCCAATGAGTGGAACTAGGCTTCGCGCGCTGGTTGGCTGGGCCGCCTCGCGTCAACCGTACTCGATTCTTATTGGTCACTGTTTTTCGTTGATAACTCGTTAACGGTGCCTCGGGGAAAATTTTTGTAAAGGAAGAAGTTGCTTCAAATGATCCCTGACACCCTGTATATAGCCACCCGGTCGTCTTGGACAGCAAAACAGTAGCTGAAGAACGATCCAGTGATCGAACATATTCATTAAACGCGATTGCGAGGCTCGGCGATTGTTTATGGTCATGCAGACACCTTCCGCCAAGACTGGTGAGAAGTTTTCGATAAAACCGATCGTTATTGGTAATAAAGTGTTTATTGGGAGATGCGCTAGCATGAATCTTCTCCGACAATGTTCGGAAGTTGTAAAATTTGTGGAAGGCAACACCGGGAACGCGTTTCATTTGATTTAGAACGACAGCGGTTGCGTGAAGCGTCGTTTTACTTTGATGCTGCGATCGCAGGACGAAGACGCCGGTCGTGGATTGTAAATCAGTATTCCCGGGGGATATATGTATCTCCGGATGAGTCTCCTATGTTCTCGAAGTCGCGCATCGAGTCGTAAATTTCGGAGTTGTAACAAGGTGGTCGCGATTTGTATATTATGTTATTAGTAGACAGCGGGTTTTGCGGATTTATGGCAACAATTCTTGGATGAAATATAAAACGGTGGAAAGATTGAAAGGAATTAAGAATGTTGATGTATTAATTTTAATTTATAAAATTGTATGGAAAAGAACAGAAATTATACATATATAACATTGAATTATAGGTTAAATTGAATTATAAGTAAAATTGAATTATAGGTTAAATTGAATTATAAGTAAAACTGAATTATAGAAAAAAATTGAAATATACGTCAAATTGAATTACAGATAAAATTGAATTATAGGTTAAATTGAATTATATGCAAAATTGAAAAAATTATAGGTAAAATTAAATTAAAGATAAAATTGAGTTATAGGTAAAATTAAATTAAAGATAAAATTGAATTATAGGTAAAATTGAATGTGTATATGTAATATTAAATTAAATGTAAAATTGAATTATAGGTAAAACTGAATTATAGGTAAAATTGAATTATATGCAGAATTGATTTATAGGATAAATGGAATGTATATGTAATATTGAATTAAATGTAAAATTGAATTATAGGTAAAATTGAATTATATGTAAAATTAAATTATGTAAAATTGAATGATATGTAAAATTAAATTATAGTTAAAATTGAATTACATGCAAAATTGATTGATAGGTAAAATTGAATTATATATAAAGTCGATCAACATTTTCGCTTTCTTAATCATCAATTTTGTAGAACGTAATGTCTTTCTACGTAATATTTTCCACATCACCGCTGCGCCCACCACCAAGCACTAAAAAAACATCTGAAGCGTACAGCTCGACGAAAACAACGAAACCGAATTTGTTTAGACCTTTCATTATTCTTGCCACAACTTAATGCTCGAATTAAGGAGTACGTTTATGTCGTACGAAGGCGACCTCGCGACTGGAACAATTTCCATAAGAGAAACCCACATTTACTTTATAAGCTGCGCATAAAATTTTACGATCTCGCAAACATTTACGATGGAACACTAAAATGTTCGCCTGTGCGCGAGAAAGTAGTTCGCGCTGAAAAATTTGCACTTCGAACGTGCCGGAGAGACCGCGAGTTTAGAACGTCCGCGCTGCTATAATTCCGCGGGCATCGGGGCTTCGGGAAAATTAACGTCTCGTCGTTTCGACGAGAATTTCACAAATTCCGCGGCACGGAGTCTCGCATTCCTCCCTGTTTCCCAAGCTTCTGAAAACACACACACACGATCCCGAATGCTCTCCGGGACGAAAAATGTCCACGCGGAATACGAGCCGCGAGAGAGGATGGAATAGTTGCGGCGCGTAAAATTGAAAGTAATCGTTGCCCGTGGAATTCTGCGGAGTTCCTACCATCTTCTTCTGCGTCCACCGACCGTCCGGATTCTTTCGCGATGACGCAGAAGCGAAGACGCGACCGCGGAGCGCGCGATTTTCGCGTAACGCCGCGCAGTGGGCCGGATTTTACCGACTTTTCGGCAATAACCTAATTTTCATATATCGATGTCCAGTCGATTTTTGTCGCTCGTTAAATATCAATTCTCCTCGAAAATGAGAATATTAACCCTTGGCACTCCGAAGGCTTCGCTACGGGAGACATTTGTCATTTGTTACGTAACTCCGTAGGCTCACAACCACGACAGATATATGTTGGAAGACAAGAAAGCGTAATTGTAGCGACGTTTACTTCGTCAACGGCCATATCGCGTTTCAAAAGACCGATTCTCGTCCGATCATCGAAGTTAAACAGCGCTGAGCGTGGTCAGTACTTGGATGGGTGACCGCCTGGGAACACCACGTGCTGTTGGCTCTTCTTTTTTTTTATTTCATTATCAAAATTAACAAGACCGATTGTTCTTATTATTATTGCGAAAACAACAACACAATTTTTTTACATTTCATGTAACTATCATTGCTGCGTCAATTATTCGATCAGCAAATCCGTTGCCTGGCACAAATATTACAACAAAATACCATGAAAATCCGAGTCCCAAAAATGTCTCGCAATCCGAAAGTGGCGGATTTCTCGGGTCATTTGAAGCAACTTTTTCCTTTGTAAAAATTTTCTCCGTGGCACCGTTAACGAGTTATTAACGAAAAACAGTGACCAATGAGAGGCGAGCTCGGCTGGCGCGTGGCGACCGAACCAATGAGCGGAACTGGGCTTCGCGCGCTGGTTGGCTGGGCCGCCTCGCGTCAGCCGTACTCGATTCTTATTGGTCACTGTTTTTCGTTGATAACTCGTTAACGGTGCCTCGGAGAAAATTTTTGCAAAGGAAGAAGTTGCTTCAAATGATCCGAGGAACCCGCCATTTCCGGATTGCGAGACATTTTTGGGACAGCCTGTATAATTAACAAGGAGTACCTTAGTTTCCTGTGAAACACGCTGCTCGTGGGACCAAAGTCGTCGCGAGTCCCGATTCACGTTTCCGGTAATAATATTGTTACGCCGTCGGCCCGCCGCAGGCCCGACGCCGACGTGAAAGGCTTTTCAAGTGTGCCACGGGCTCGTCGAAACTGTTACTATTCAATTACGCCGTTCGTATTTTCCGCTCGCGACAGGCTATGTTTCGTTTTAACAATAAGTGGCGATGGAATCCCAATTACACAGCGCCGATTATTGTTATTATAGCCTACCTCCGGCCGACACATTGTTTTATGCGATAGTTCGTTGCGTTCGAAACACGACGCGCGTCTTTTAATTGCGCGCGCGCGAGATACGATGTTAGGGATTTCGAGATACAAAGCGGCAATTAAACGTGGACGATCGGCCGGGTGAAGCGATTAAGCTTGATTGGCACTACAGTAACTGAATTAGCAAATTATTGGTTGCGGAAATTGCATGAAAATGATTCGCATTCCGAAGCAACCGATTACATACACATATACAATTGTTCGTACGCAATAACTCTTTCGAAACTGAGCTAAACGACTTGAATTTTTGTTTTTTACATGATGGGTGAACTAAAAGGTTGAAAAGGTTTTTTTTTTAAATTTTGCTGTTACTTGGAACGAAAAGAAAAAATTAAGGACCTTCGTTTTTTAACTATTTTACCGGAGCCTATGATGAAAATTTAAAAAATGTAGTTTATTACTTTTTTACTGAAAATTATTTTATTTAGTTTATTGTTTATTATTTAAATATTGTAGACCTCGGTAACTTATACGTGTGCTGAAAATTTGATCGATCATGCTCGTTTCTTTTTATAGTTGTCGATCCATGAATTTGTTCGATTTTATTATAATCCGTCGAGATTTATCGTATTAGTTTAAGGAATCGCGGTTATCTTATTTTTCTTTTTTTCATTTATATTATTTGACACTCTCTGTATCGAGTATGTAACTAACATCTATAACTGATACGATTAATGGGTAATTTCCCGTATATATTCGTTAAATAAATAAATAAACAAATTTTCTTGCAGCCGAAGAATTTTCGAAGATTTCAAGAATTCCGAATTATAACAATTATCTTACCCATTTTGCCGGGTATCACGTCGAACTGGGCCGGCGTGTCGCTGACAAATATTGGCCGGTTGCATAATTCCTGGAACACAATTAAGAATTCAAGTTACATCTTGCATTTTTCTTGCAACCTGAAACATTAATACACTGCCGCGACACCCGTATTTACTTATATGTATATTAATATTATATTAATAATAATAATATTATATTATATTATTAATAATAACAATAATATTATACTATATTATTAATAATAATATTATATTATATTATCAATAACAATAATATTGTACTATAGTAGTATAGTAGTATACTATAATAATAATAATAATAATATTATATTATATTACTAATATTATATTATTAATTACATAACAATTAATTGTTACGTAAAACTATAGATTGTGGTTTTTACGCGTTTATAACAAAAATGAGTGAGCGAAACACAGAACAGCGGTATTACTAGTGCAATTAAAAATTTTGATTACATTAATTATAATTAGACTATGAATTTTCACTTTTTCTGACAAAATAGAATTCTTGTTGCGCGATAGTACAAAATGAGCAATTGTATAACAATGTGTTCGTTCGTTTAACAATTTTAATCGACGGAAAATAATGTAACAATACACTTAAATTTTAATAATGTTTTCAATATTCTGTATTTTTCTTGCAATAAATGCATCAAACCCGCAATCCAATTATGACTCATCGAAATGACTCAAAGCAGAAATAAATGTCCATGCATTTCCTTTTGACTGCAATCGAAACTGTAATCGCGACATTACTCAATCTAATTTTACAATGTTACTTCCATTAAATAAAATACTTTAATTCTCATTTAACTTTCGCGACCGTTGACGCGACGGTCGAGACGTCAAGTCGATCGTCCGGCGTACGGCGAACGCGAGCGCCGTCGAAAGTGTCCGAAAGTATCCGAAGGCAGCCGAAAAGGTAACGATCTTGACCATGAGAACGTAATTGACGGGCGGGCACACGTTCGAGGCTCGAGGACTCTAATTACCTGTAATTAATGTTTCCCGTCGCGACGCCAGCCGCCGCATGATTCTCCTGACGTCGAGCGACCGCCGCCACCGGTACATATTCCGCGAAAACGGTCTCCCGGAACCGGAAAGAACAGCGGAAACCGTTTCTGCGTCGCGAAACGAACGAGAGAACGTCTCGCGCGACGGGTAGAGCCCATTCGCCGGGACGGGCCGACAATGCGAGCTCACGCGCCGCGCGCGGTTCGCATTCCTAGTCTGTCTCGGAATAATTACGCGTTGTAGAACGAGCGGCGAAGTGTTATATAATCATCCTTTGTCCCAAGGCTGGAGTTCCAGCAAATACGTTCTGACAAATTAATACCGCGTTGCGAACCGGCCATTTCAATTAGCCACGAAATCTTCTCACGGCCGAAGGCTGCGCTCTCGATGCAAGGATATTAATGGCTCATTGGAAAGGAACGGGAAATGCTAACGTTTCTCAGATTTTCGTTACACCTCTGCGCGCTGAGTGCATGGGCGTAGACTCTGGATAGTGGTCGACGACCGGCTAATATAATATGCAGAAATATGAAATAGATAAAATGAAGCAAGAAAGTAGAATAGAATAAAATAAAGTAAAATATAATAGAATAAAATAAAACAAAGTAGAACAAAATAGAATAAAATAAAATTAAGTAGAACAAAGTAAAATAAAATAAAATAAAATAAAATGAAGTAAAATAGAACAGAATAAAATAGAATAAAATAAAACAAAGTAGAACAAAGTAAAATAAAATAAAGTAAAATAGAATAGAATAGAATAAAATCTGTCTCTTATACACATCTACTTCATTTTATTTTATTTTACTTTGTTCTACTTCTGTCTCTTATACACATCTAGATGTGTATAAGAGACAGAAGTAGAACAAAGTAAAATAAAATAAAATGAAGTAAAATAGAATAGAATAAAATAAAGTGAAATAGGACAGAATAAAATAGAATAGAATAGAATAGAATAGAATAGAATAGAATAAAACAAAGTAGAACAAAGTAAAATAAAATAAAATAATAATAAATAGAATAAAGTACAATAGAATAGAATAAAATAAAACAAAGTAGAACAAAGTAAAATAAAATAAAATAAAATAAAGTAAAATAGAATAGTATAAAATAAAGTGAAATAGAATAGAATAAAATAGAATAGAATAGAATAGAATAGAATAGAATAGAATAAAATAGAATAAAATAGAATAGAATAGAATAGAATAGAATAGAATAGAATAGAATAGAATAAAATAGAATAGAATAGAATAGAATAGAATAGAATAGAATAAAATAAAATAAAGTAGAGCAGAATAAAATAAAATAAAGTAGAATATCTAGAATAAAATAAAGCAAAATAGAATAGCATGAAATACAATAAATAAATTAAGCACAAATTAGACCGAAATAACATCGAAGTTGACATATCATTGTCACGCTCTCCCTGGAATTTGTCTCGGGAACGTGACGCTTGTTCGAATTTTCCTCGCGAAAAATGGAAATGGGAGAATTCTCGGACAACATTACGCGCGCCGACGGACATGCTAATGCAGCCGACTGGCTCGGTGAAACCACCGACGCGTCGGTTTGCAATATTACGTGGTTAACAGCGATGAAATAGTATCCTTCTGACTCATGCCACGGCCGGCGACGATCCTCGTGTTCAACACAGGATACTCGGTTCATCGTTCCTGTTCACCACTCGTGTCACGCTCTCCTCCGATCTCCTTTTCCGGTCGCGGCCGAAACCGTGCGGCACACGAGCGTGAGCGCTCGCGCGCGCGCGCGCAAGCTTATATCGCGTAATAGGGAACGCGCGTCAACGCAATATCGTCGACCTTGTTGCAGAAACGCTCGGTCCGTCGCCGGCATTTTATTTCGCGATAATTAATCGCGACGCGTGGAAATCGGCCGCGCTGTCCCGTTCGCGGAGCGAATAGGAATAGACATTGGTTCGCCGGCTGTCAGCTTTGGTCTCGGGTTCAGTTTTTCTCCGGCCTGAACAGTGGCACCGATTACGCAAATGAATCGCGGGGATCGTTGATCTTTGGAATCGTTCGCTCGTTTCAGTTCAACGAACTCGTTTTCTTTCCTTTTCTTTTTTCTTTCTTTTCATTCAGCACCCAGAATCTCGCCTGAGATTCGACTTAATACGGCAAATTAGGAAGGAATTCGAGGTTAGAATGGAAGATTTACGGAGAGTCGAAACGCTGGAACCCTTTCGGGCGAGAGAATTTGCGGAATTTGAAAGGTTCGAATTATAAACGGTAGATTATGTTAATTGGAACGGAGAGAATGGAATTTTTGCAATTATTTGTCGCGCGTGAACGCGAATTTTTTTTGGGGACCGCGTGGGGCGCGTTCTCCCTTCAGCTACCCTTAACACGGTCACTGACAACCACAAGATAACCCTTTGGTTCTATGGTAATTGTATTAAAGTTTCAATATCAACAAAAATGTCTCAAGAAAATAATTAATTCATTATATTTTACTTATATATATTATATTTTATATTATATATAATACAAATTAATAAATTTATATAAATTATAAATTAAATAATAATATTATATATATACATATATAATATATTATTATATATTTTATATACATATATATAATATATTATTATATTAGGTCTACCGGAAAGTTCTTTCCGATAGTGTCACTTCAAGTTCCAATCCATATGCACATGTAGATTTGAGACATGTATGACTATCTCTCTTTATCATTGCATTTACACACATGTATTCTCCTAAATAAACTGAAATAAAGATGTCTCATGTCATTATTAAGAGAGATGCGATCGTGAAAACATGGCTACCGATGATAATGCCAGACCACAAGCTGCTTTGGCGACTCGTCAGAAAATCGCAGAGCTAGGCTGGGAAATTCTGTCACATCCACCATACTCCTCAGACCTAGCACCCTCCGATTATCACTTGTTTCTCTCTTTGCAAAACTTTTTACAGAAAAATATTCAAAACTGAAGCTGATGTCAACCAAACACTAGTTGAGATCTTCGCCTCTAAAAATAAATCATTTTTTAAACATGGCATTTACAAGTTGCCATCACGCTGGCAACAAGTCATAAGTAACGATGGAAAGTATATTCTACAATAAATATTATTAAATGTATGAAAATTGTGTTATATTTCAATTCAAAAACGGACAGAACTTTCCGGTAGACCTAATATATTTTATATACATATATATAAAATTCGTCACGCGAGACAGTTTTCTGTAAAAACGGAATCCGTTAGATTCGTTAGCGGGAGCTCGTTGTTGAACAAAACGGCCGGTTACGTGATCATAAACGCGGTGTACGACAAAGACACCAGTCTACGTGTCAAGGTTGCATACCGTTTCCGTTACGGTTCCTAGGCTCCGGATTCCTCGCCCTTCCTTTCCGCAGGAACTAGAGCACACCGTTGCGAATAAATCGCGTAAACGTTGCCGCCAGTGTCCGACAAGTTCTTAACCAATAATCGGCGAGCACGCTTCTAACGATATTCGTTCGATCGTCGTTGAACCGTCGGCCTTGTTCGTGATGTTCACAGCACCGAGAATTTGTAATTAGAAGCTTGGAATTCAAGTTCTGCGATTAAGTGGAAGCGCCGGCACGTAATCACGGCAACGGCTTTGTTCTTTTCGGGCGTGACGTTATTGAAATTATTCGAAATTAAGAAGAGAAAGGAGAAATAAGTGTCAAATCTCGACGATCAGCAACAATGGATTTTTCTTGAGCAGAAATCGAGATACGTAGCGAAACAGGCATGAGAAAATGAGACCTTTTATGCCAATAAATTGACAACTTGAGCTATAGCTATTATTCTATTATTCTACTTATGACATTTACTTCTCTCAAAATGTCGGATCTCTGAAAGCACGAATTTTCATTAAAAAGCGTAATACAGGATGTCCCGAAAATGTCTCGCAAACCGGAAATGGGAGGTTCCTGAGGTCATTTGAAGCAACTTTTTCCTTTGCGAAAACTTTCTCCGAGGTTTCGTTTACGAGTTATTAACGAAAAACACTGACCAATAAGAGGCGAGCTCGGCCGGCGCGCGGCGGCCCAGCCAACGAGTGCACGGAGCCCAGTTCCGCTCATTGGCTCGGCCGTCTCGTGCCAAATGATCTCGCCTCTGATTGGTCACTGTTTTTCGTTAATAACTCGTAAACGAAGCCGCGGATTGCATTTTCGCTAAGGAAAAAGTTGCTTCAAATGACTTCAGAAACCTCCCATTTCCAGATTGCGAGACATTTTCGGGACATCCTGTATGTGTCGCAAGAATCGAACGACGAGTATACTCGTCGAACACAGAGTAAGCGTCGCTGTTAAAATATCGAATCATAAATACGGTTTTATTTTATAAAATTAACAATTTTATTGCTAACATTTACTTATTCGTTTAACATTGGCATATACTGCATAAATAATAAACGAAAAACGCGGAAAAAATCAAATAATTATAAAAGTTAGAAATTCAAATTGTTGTGTGTGTGCTATAGTATATATATATATACTAATATTTATATACTATAATATATAATATATATATATATACTAATATTTAATCTTATTTTTATAATAATGTAATCATCTTCGTGTAGAATCGGCCTAAAAATATTTTAAACATCTTGAAATTTGAAAATGTGTTTCTGTTATTGCTAACATTACAATTTAAATAGCCAATAATCGCTACTTTTTATGGGCGACGAGTATACTCGTCGTGACACAAAATACTGCCGCTTCTCCGTGACGAGTACAATCGTCGAACACAGCTAACTGGTTAATTTATTTACGAGGCCACGAGGCTCTGCAGTTTCTACCGCGAGATCGCGAACAATTTCGAAGCATCAAAGTAACAAATCGGTCTATACGTCGGCGATCCTGGGGTCACCAACTTTCTTGCAACCTCCTTCGACGTTCGCAGTTGCCTATCAACTTTCACAGATCCGAAGGCGTCGATATTGGGTCTTGGATCTGATAACGTCGGCGCGATGCGACGAATCTAGGGTTACATCACTGTCAATTGTGAATCTTATCGGTGCGTAAATCTTAGCTTATATCACGAGTGCGCGGTCATGATTGTCGGCATCATTGATTCCATAAATCCGATTTCACTGATATTGTAACATTGTGTAACATTGAAATTGTTCCGATGAATAATCGGATCATCATTTGTTTGAATAGTTAGATAGAGCAATAATTTCGCGCTTTTTTACATTTTGTGCCATGAATGTCCAACCTTTCTGAATTTATTTAAGAAAATTTAGTTCACTTATTTACAAAAGAACCAGTTTACTTAATTAAAAAATCTAGTTTATTTATTGAAAAAGTGCAGCTTACTTATTTAAAAAATCTGGTGTACTGAATTAAAAATTCCGTTTTACTTGATTAAAAAATCCAGTTTTATTATTCAGAAAAATCCAGTTTTTCTTAATTAAACAAACCAGTTTACTTGCTGAAAAATTCCAGCTTACTTATTTAAAAAATCTAGCGTACTTAACTAAAAAGTCCAGTTTACTTAATTATAAAATCCAGTTTACTTATTTAGAAAAATCCAGCTTACTTATTTAGAAAAATCCAGTTAACTTAGTTAATAAAACCAGTTTACTTACTGAAAAACTCCTACTTACTTATTTAAAAAATCTAGCGTACTTAACTAAAGAGTCCAGTTTACTTAATTAAAAAATCCAGTCTACTTATTTAGAGAAATCCAGTTAACTTAATTAAAAGATCCAGTTTACTTGCTGAAAAATGTCAGCTTGCTTATTTAAAAAATCCAGCGTACATAATTAAAAAGTCCAGTTCACTTAATTAAAAACTCCAGTTCGCTTAATTAAAAAATCCAGTTTGCTTAATTAAAGAATCCAAAACGTATTGAAATCGTGTTACGGTATAAACCCATAAAAATTCATGAATAAAGTAAATTAAAGTAATCTAATGAGAGAGAGAGAGAGATTACCTTTGGTCGCTTCCATTGGAACTGAAAGGGCGGGGTTTGGTGATAGAAGACCGACGTTTGGGTGGCTGGAAATTCGGGATCCTCCCACAGTTCACCTCGTTTCAAGCACGAACGCTTGATACGTTCGTACTCGCTCATTACGTCCTGAAACAATCAACGTATTATCTAAGAGAGAGCGTCACTCGCATACGAACACGCCAACAGTTAACGTAACAATTAAGTAACCGTATCGACCTCGCATCGATTTTTCAATTAATAATTCCTGCGGCGAAAATTATGGGAGCAACAACTGGATCGGCATATTAATTGGCCTAATTGATATTCATAACAAGGTTATGAATGGAGGACGATATTTGAGAAATTAACAGTACGTCCGCGTGCTTCGCCTACTCGATATTTTTCGTCATCGATCATAATCCTGTTACGATCGCTCGATGATGAAATTCTTTCGTAGATATTTAAGATAGCGGCATGATGCAATGTAATATTCAAATGCATAATTTCATTTCTGGTGCTTTGAAATTGTGATATAAACATGTGTTATTGGAAACATTACTTTATGACAGTAATTGATAGTAATGAAAATCAAGATATTTTGTGCCTTTGTCTATGTGTCCTGCAATAAACAA